CCTGTTTTTGTTGGACCCTGTGATGAGCCTAGCTCTGAGGGTTTTGTTGGTTTGAATACTTTTGTTGAGGGTTCATCAGTTTGATGGTTTATTTGGCTTTGGGGACAAGTTTGACAGGTTATGTGCTTGTGCTTTTTTTCTGGTTGTTTCGAAGCAGGTTTAAGGTTTGGTTACAGGCCACAGGCTTGGCTTGTGTAGTTTGCTTTGGCTTTTTGATGCTGAGTTGAAGCAGGCTTCAGGCTTGGTTACAGGCCACAGGCTTGGCTTGAGGTGAAACTGAGTTTAATGCAGTTTGTATGGCTCAACAGGTTTGGTATGTTTGGATTTTGAGGTGGTTTGGTTGAAGTTTATGGCTTGCTGTCTTGAAACAGGTTACATGATTATGTTTATGCAGGATGTTTAGGCTTCTGTTTGAGGCTTATGCTGTTATTTGGACTGTGTTGAAATAGGTTTGAGGTTTGAGCAGTTTGATGGCTTCATGTTTGGTGCAGGTTTAGGCTTTTGTTCGTTTAAGTTTGTGTTTATGGTTTGTTTGGGAACACAGGTTTGGAGGGTTTCATTTGGTTTTGGAGGCAGGCCATTGTTGGTGTTCTATAACAGTTTGTGTTATTTTTTGTTATATGATATTCTGCCTTGGATTTCTATGTTCTGATATGTTTGTCTTATATATTTTTCTTTCCAAGCCTCAAGCCTACTGTAAGCCTTTCTCTCCTCTCTCTTTCTCTTCTCTCTCCATAGATAAAAAGCATATAATATTGCTTAAATCTGTACTTGCTCTGAAAAAGTAAATGGCCTTGAAAATGATGTAACTTGAAATGTTTGCTTGCATTATGGTTTAGCTCTGCATATCTCTTTTCCAGATTTCCTGCATACTGTGTACTTTGTTGACAGCTTTAACATCTCTTTTGGACAGTTCTGCGCTTGGTTGGCATCTTTGGCTTAGTTTGGTTCAGTTTGCCTTTGTACATCAGTTTGCCTTTTGGACTTTGTACTTGGTTTGGAATTTTTGAAATGGACAATTTGTTCTTTTGGCATATTCTTTGGTTGACAATTTATGCAGTATGTTTGATATTTTGAATTATATGCTGCCTTGTATATTTTTACACGCTTGCAACATTTTCTATCCTTCTCTGTGAACCAAGAATTTTCTTGTGATTTGCAGAGAGGGTGAATAACTTATTCCGGCCAGTTACTTTTAATGATGAACTTTAAATTAACTGTCTGTTTTTATTTTAATTCATCTGCATTTGGCTTTTTCCTTTTCTTGTTTTTGCAGATAAAATCAATTGAGCAAAGGAGCATCAGATAGAGGATGAAGATTTAGGATAATTAGGATAGCTTTATTTCAATTTTAATCATTTGTAATAATATTAATGTAAATAATTGTGAGTAAATTTACAGTATTCAAATAATATCTGTAACAAACAATTCAAAATGAATAAACATCCTTCTTTGTCAGATTTCTCTTTTATTTCTCTTCAATTGTTTATTTAATTATTTAAGTTTCTGAAATTAAAATAGCTGGAAATAAATCCCAACTATTCTCACTTAGAATAAATAAATAATTAATAAACACTGTCGTCTTGCAATCAATAAGCCCGGCGTTCTGAATAATCCAAAACATTGCACAGTTAATCAAACAAACGTCCACATGTTTTTTCCTTTTACTGATTAAATCAAACACTGCAAACTCTCAATCTAAATGCCTCAGCTCATATCCCAGAATAACTTGAAAAGAACTGTAGAATTAATTCTTTCTGAGAAATATGCGCACAAAACCCTGATTCTTGTTTTAATTTTCACATAAGCGCCTGCCTGATCAAACCCTGAGCCAAACTCAACCAAACCCTAATAATTTGCTTGAACTGTTCCAGAGCCATGAAAACCCTAATTTGGATAGACTGATAAGAAAAAATCTGTTTGACTGATTCTTACACCAATCTGAAAAAGTCAGGGAAAAACCCGAAGTTGTGATTTCTTGTGGAAAAGAGGAGGGAAAATTTTGGGGTACAACAACAATATTCAATTAGATAAATGCAAGACTCTCGTATTTTTAACATCACTCAAAAAACTTAAGGGACCAAGTTTCACTCACAAGTATTTCCTTAAAAGACTCTTCTTTCAGTCTTAACATAATTGATCAAGATGTCAAAAGGACAAATTCACAAAGCAGGAAGGTGAAAATAAAGAAGCTAAGGCCTATGGAAAATTGTCAATTAAAAAACCTACTCTCCAATCTGAAGTGCTAGCACACGGGGCAGCCCCAAAATTAAAAAAGAAACCTCTACCACCAGGCCTCAAATATGAACCCCCTCACAAAACAAAGAAAAAATGAAAAGCGTAAAGAGTCTGGGAAATGGATGGATATATTGAAATTGAGCCCTAAAGTTGTTAACCACAATGTTAATAACTCAATTTTGAATGAAGAATACTCTTGATCATGAGGGTTAAATGGTCAAGCTAATAACCTTAAAGAAGTGTTGTGTGGGAGACAACCCATGAAATAGTGTGTTTTATTTTTCTTGTTTGTTTATTTTTGCATGAATAAAAAGAAAGTTACACAAAGATAACCACCACGTCTTACCAGGAGATATGCGTCAAGAAAGACTAACCAGGAGATCATAAAGTTAAATCATTTTCCATTGCCTCTGCCATAAACAGTGTGAGCTTTCTATGCTTTGTTTTGTTTTAGTATGATTTTGCATCACTGTTAAATTCTCCCCAAATTAAAACCTTTTAAGGAAAAAATGAAAAAGATTTTGATTTAATTCCAATGAAAAAGTATATAGAATCCGATGGATGAGAAGTTAAGTTTAAGGGACCCAAGAAAATTTGAGAAAATAGATATTGTCTAAACACCTGAAGTCTCTTGAATCGGATATCAATTTAACTTGTTTAATATTGTAGGCCCCGAATTTTTGAGAAGTGTTTTTTGAGCAGTATAATGTTCCTTTGGTTTGCTGCTTTTGGAAAAAGAACATGGGCAAAACAATATATTTTTTCTGAAGAGGCAACGTGTGGGACAAGATATTCCAGCATGTGTGCAACATTTGTTCTCAATCTAGAAGACATATTCAATGAGTAAATTTGAGCGCATTTTTGGTTGATTCCAAGTAGATTTGTCATTCATGTTTTGTATCTTTTAGCAATATGAATTTAAGGAAGATTGGCTAAAAGATTATCCAAGCCCATATCGAACCTAAGAAGATTTAAATTGATTTTAAATTAATATGTGTTGTACCCCCAAAATTTTCCCTCCTAATTATACTGCTAATTGGCTCAAGCTTCCCATTTTATTTGCATCACTCTATTAGATCATTTGCATAACATGTATTCATTCATTGAATAAGACATCTGGTTGTTCATTGGATTATTGTACATGTGGTGGTTTAAGGTCCTTATATAATGCAAGCATGCTTCAATTGAGTTTCTTCCCAAGTATGGAGCAAGGGAATTAGGGTTTGACATTGTGGTCATCATGGACTTCTTCTCAAAGTTGTACTGGATTATAGATTAGGGTTGTGGACATCATGATGCAAAGTTATCTTCTTAGATTTTGATCCAAAGGCTTTGAGTCAAAGCATGGAGTTCCTATAGACCATTAAGGATATCGCTGGTCATCATCATTCAAGGCAAAATGTTTCATTACTTAGATTGCATTTTATGAGGAACATGGACAAGATCTTTGACTTTGACCAAAGTCGATCTTAAAAAGTTAACTTTTTGACCAAAGTCAAACTGGAGATCTACCTATAATATGCCATGCAAAATTAAACAAAGAAAGTCAAATTTTGAAATAGAAAAAAAGAGGGAAGTGCTTCATTATTTGAAAGCATGTTTACAAAGGTCATCATTCCAAATCAAAGAGCATTCAAGTGCAAGGGAGATACATTACAAAATGAAGTAAAAAATGGAACTACATTTAAAAATACACTTTTTTACAATGGTTGACTTTTTATCAACAGTTGACCACGACCAGGACTTTGACCCTAGACCTATTTTCCCTCTAATCTTCAAGTATTCTTCATCTTTATGGACAATTGGACATCCTTCAAATATCCTTCATGTACCATGTTACTTTCATCCCATGATCAATACTATGCAAAAAAACAATGTTCCAACCATGCCATGTACTGCCTCTTGACCTAACTACCATGCTCCATGACTCCATAATTAAGATACCTGTCGTGCCAAAACATATCCATAAATCTCCATGGTAGTTTCAACATACGCACATATTTAAGATTTGAAACACAATACCATAACAACCCCTTTATCACACATACATACATATATAATCACATCATGAAAGCGACACATCATAAGCAAAAATCATTCCAATCCACACATACTTTCCTACAATTTCAAGCAAATTTTACAAACAAGCTTAAACCAATGGTCATACATTCGTACAACAAAAATTCAACATCAAGCAGTCCATTTCAAGCAAACCAGAATGTTAGCCATATCAATTTCAGCATGATTATGTAGTTTCAACAAGGCATTAAACAGTACAAACAATCCAAAACAGAGCCTGACATTCAAATAGCTTTGCATACATCATGTCCTTCAATCATCTAGTATTCCTTCAACACAAAAACATCAATAGGCATTTAGCACCAAAAAGACATTCAAACATGTCAAGAATACAATGCAACACAAGCCACGACAACAGTGCACACAAAAGCTCACAAAAAATTGAATAGTAGAAGAAGAAGAATTGAGGAAGAAAGTAGAAGAGTATTGCTCAGAGGATCAAAGATTCGCTTACCTGGACATTGTAGCCTCAAGATCCTCTGGTTTTCTTCTTCGCTTCTACGTGGTTGAAGACGCATCGCACGGACTCCAATAGGTAAACCTTGGAACTATTTCCATCTTCCTCAGTTCTCCGTCTTCTTCATATCTCTTCCTTGCTTGAGACCTCCTGAACTGTAATCCCAAGGAAGCGAGCTCGAATCCTCAACCAAGAGCGTTTGATTTTGGTTTTTTTTCTTGCGACTTTAGGTTTTGTTAGATGTGAGAAGACTGAGGGAGAATCTTTGAAAACGAAGGTTTAATCCGCGAGGAAGAGAGAAGGACGAAACATTTTGAGAGGCTAATTCGCGGCGGCTTGAAATGAGAACACGGATGCGAAATTGAAGAAGAAAGATTGAACGGAGAAAATGAGAGAATGAGGGAAGCGTCGCTTTCGAAAATAGATCAAGAGTCACAAATTTCAACCAAACAATGTCGTTTCCTGAATTTTTTCTAGCAACCTGAAACGAAATTCTCATACACAGAGAGCTTCAAGTCATTTCAAATGAAGTAAATGTGGAACCAAATTAATAGTATAAGGACTCTCGTCATTTAAAATAATGTGAAGGGTAATTTTTTTTTTAATTTGTTTTCTAAATTTTTTTTATTTATATAATTATTTATATTATTTAATTTTATTATTAATTATAAATAATTTAATAAATTATTTAATTGTAAAATTAATTAATAAAATATTAATTTAAAAACTTAAATAATTATAAATTAACAATTACAATTAAATAATAAAAATGATTATTAAGTAATAAAATTTAACAATTACAATCAAATTACTAAATAAAAAAATACAGATAAAAGTAGTTACAAATAATAATACATGGATAAAATTAGTTAGAAGGACCTGCATTGTTGAGGCGATGCAGACATTTTTTACGCATGTGTGGTTGTTGACAGATTCTGCATCGTCTTTTTATTTTCTCAACAGTGTCCATTTCAGTTCTAATGCGAGTACTGTTCGGGCGACCTTTTTTATTTCGTCGCATACTTTCATCATACAAAAGAGTATCGTCCAAATATGGAGGTCAGCTATCTTCTTGAGGAACATCGATGAAACTTTAAAGACATTTATAACTCTATACAAATCAGGAATAAACTTAGTGTAGTCGTGGTTAATGTGAGAACAAGTCGCGATAGCATATGAGCAAGGCAGATGAAAAGTTTGAAATTTTCCACAGTCACAAGTTCGTGTTTGGAGGTTGACGTTTGTTTCCAGTGATTTCTGGTAAACAACCGCTAGTCTTTCAAACTATCGAATAATCTTTCTTACTGTTATTCAATCCCTCTGGTAACTCACAGGATCGACTAGATTGATCCTAGGACTCCTTGGATATTAAGGTTACTCTCACAATCGAACAATTATTCATGGTTGATATTGTATAGGTGTTTGGTTTATTTCGATCCCTCTCTCTAAGAGTCTAAAGATGTAATCAAGATGTGTATGAAAACTAAGTTATACGAATAAATGCTAATTGTAATGCTAATTGTAAAGACATATAAAACTGCATGAAAATGAAGTAAATGGTTTCGACTTACAAAACGTTTAACATAAAAGGTTTCTGGAATGTAGAAGTTTAAAGATGTGAAGAAAGCGTTTAATGCAAGAAATTTGTAAATGATTTCAAGTAAAAGTATGCGTTCGAAGGACAAGACTTGAATGTAAAGGTATGGAAAATGTGACAGTTTTCTGGAATATAAAGTGCTCGAAACATAAAGAAAATAATAAAATGTAAAACTTTGAGGCAGAGACCTCGAAATGAAAAGACTATAAATAAGAAAACTTGTAAATGTTGTTTGACAAAAAGAATAAAGGAAAGTACTGGAAATGGTAAAAGGTTTTCATTAAATCAAAAATACATGGTGCTATCATACATACATTTCTCTTGCATTCGTTTCCCTTGCCATGTGGTAGTTTGAATGTTATTGAGTATTTTGTATAATAGATATGACACACAGAAATCCTAATATTAAGACTCCTATTTATACTAATTCGACCCTAACGGTCTCGCTATAGGATTATGCCACGTTTCGAACATGCAGGACAATGCTTCTTTCATCTTTCCACGTGTCCCCAAATGCTCCAACACATAACTTTCAAACTTTGAAAGTCCCGCTTCCATTTGAATTTTAAATGCTTTGGTGTTTCTCCGTTTCGAGCGCTTTTCCCAAACATAGCCTCGCTGTTGTTTCGAGACTCCTTTAGATAAGTTCCCATAATTGCCACTCGAAGCTTCAAGCTTTGACACACTTATTCGAAACACTGCTTCTGCAACTTCGAAATATGGCGTTTAATTCCATTTCGATCAGAACGTTTAACTCTTTTGACTTCTAAATAACATTATCAAAATCTTCAGCCAACAAATTGCCCCTTTAAAATATGTATTTCGATTCCTCTGAGAAATACCTATTTTAAACATCCACACGAGATTTTGATAGGACTTTCGAACCATCGTAACATTTAATGCATTTGACTCCAGTCACATCAATCATAACACCTTTTGGATTCCTTAACCGCCCGGAGTCACTTCACAGCGTGGTGCAGTTATAAGTAATGATTATCTTTTTTAATCACGCCTATTACCTATGTTAATTTTCACGCCACCTCTTCATCACACCAACCCATGATCTCCACGTATCACACCTCTATTCGGTGGATGCTTAAACTTCCCCATTATAAAACATCAACTTAATCTTCTTCTTTTCTTTTCACAATCTTTCATACTCTGAATTTTTACCCTCCTTCTCTCACAAAACAGTCTAAGCTTTCAACATCCCTCAAAATGTCTTCTTCTACTTCATCCCAACTCAAGAAAGTCTCCAAGAAGAAAGGAAAAACTACAGGAGCTACCATGGAGAGTAAAATCATCACCATTCAAGGCCAATCTGCTCTTGCTCCTCAAATGATTTCCAAAGAAAAAGAAATGATGTACGCATCACAGGTACTCATTCCTACCCACGTTGCTGGTAAGAGGTTAGCCTTAAATGGCCCTCTTACGGTTTTTGAAATATTAAAGGACACCAGGACAATTTTTCCCGTCTGTTATAGCTTCAAACCTTTATTCAACAAAATGGATGCCCCTAGGGCAGTAGAATCCCCTAGTTCAAATACCGTAGAAACCCCAACTGTTCCTCCCAAGGACCCCTTTGTTTTGGATTATGTAAAAAGCAATTTTAAACCATTTCGATCCTGCCCTACTTCTGATATTGCTTATCAAAATTGGTTCACAAAAGTAGAAGCCAAGAAATCCCAGCAATGGGAAGAATTAGGCATTTATAACCTGATTAAGCTATCGAAACCTGGATTTACCTACAGCCATCCTCTGCTATTCGCGTCCCTTTATTTTTGGGACAGTACCTACAACACTTTCCATCTCCCAGGTGGAATGATCACCCCAACCTTCTTCGATATAGCGGCCATTACTGGGCTGTCGCCAGTGGGAGAAACTTATGTTCCTGATAATGAAGAGCACTCAAGCATAATTGACTTCGAAGTCAAGTTAGCCAGCTTTTCCAAATTTATCAGTCATTATCATGCTGAAGGGGACAATGTGTCTGACGTAGAGCACATTGCTTTTTTAACCCTGTGGCTGTCTAGATACGTCTTCTGCAGTAGATCCCTGCAGGTAGCTAGTAGGTTCATTCCTCTAGCTAGGGATTTACATGAAAATCGAAAAGTGTGCCTAAGTGAATTACTCTTAGTTGACCTCTATGAAAGCCTGAGGTCAGCTGTTTCGAGCCTCAAATCCCACACTTCCAAAAACATTTTATTGGCTGGCCCATTTTGGTTACTCCAACTATGGCTAAATGCCATGTTCGAACCCTCCTTATCAACCGCCAATACCATTGATGAGCAAGATTCTGAGATAAGTGATAGGATAGTCGAAGGCACTAGGCTTCGAAGACTAACTCCTAATGATGACAAAGATGACTTCAAAATTCAATTCTCGAAGTACATCATGATATTCTCCAAAAGGCACAAGTTCGAAGAGAGCATGGCGCCTTTTGCTTCGAGGGCTCATAGACCTTCTTGGTTCACCATGGCTCTTTCAGAAGCCATCAAGAGCAAGGAGATTCAGGATGTATGGAGAGATTTCTTGCTGCCTAGACTCATATCTTCAAGGATAACCACAGCCAAGAACCAAATTCTTCTCTTTGCCTACCAACCAAACTTCGTTTCGAGGCAGTTTGGCTTATGCCAACTGATTCCTGAACCTTTGTTCCAAACTAAGAGCGCCATCACTTCTGGACGAACTTTCAAGGCAAGGGAAGCCAAAATCCAGCAAGAACAATATCAAGGCTTTGCCCAATTTGAGCTGATAGCCTTCGAACCTACCCATCTCGCGACTAAAGGATTTCTGGAGTGGTGGATTAAGTTTTATCAAACTTATATGTTCGATACACTTACGATTCGACAGAAACTAATTGATGCCTTCGATGTGCAGGTACCAGCAAAGAAAGGTATGTTTACTCATGCCAAAGAGATTAAAGCTTTTCAAAATTATTTTGAAACTACTTACGACCCCACGCGCTTGGACTCCACTGTGCATCAAGCAGCTGAGACCTTGAAGGAAAAATTTAAACAAAAAGTTTCTAAGCTAAAACTTCCTTCAGGGCTGTCACCTGAGGATAGGTATAGGTTGGCATTCGAAATGCATCCACCTAAATTTCCTAGATTACCTACCTCAGAACTAGCTCTGGCTTGGTTTCCCCCATATCCATGGTGGTTTACTTGCAAAGAGATGTTCAAATATCTTCAAAGGAAACCAAAGCCATCTGAGACTGTGACATGGGCTCGATACTGGCTTCATGATTTCCCAGGACACCTTTGATACGACCTTTCTGCCATGTCAATTAAATCTGATCAAGGCACAGGTGCGAATGCTTGGGAAAATCCCAAATGTCTTTTATTTTCCATATCTTTAACCTTTGCTTTAATTGTTTTGATTTTCAGCTATCAGGATAAAGACAGCTGCCTCGAAATTGAAGGAAGGGAGTGCCTCTCAAGCCTCCGTCGAAACTACTAAAAAAGCCACTCCACCCGAAACAACTACTACTGCTGCAACTACAACAACAACAATAACGCCAACAACAACAAGTGCTCCCATTCCAACGGTAATCACTTAGCCTTGACGTTTCGAATTCACTCAAGCTTTGTGGTTTATATCTAACTTTTCGTTAAAATTCTTTCAGACCAACAAGCTTCCTCCTACTACTCCCAAGAAGCGGAAATTAAGCACTACTGGGGAAGACCCCAAGGCTGGAGGAAACTCAAATACTGCTTCGAAGAAGAAGCTAAAGAAAGATACTCCTAACAGCACTGTTCCGACTAGTGTCTCTGGACTCGATTCTAGGGATGCTGCTCCCTTACCTAAATCCAAAAATCCACCTTCGACCTCCAACCCACCGTTGGAACGTATAGCTAGTAACCTCTCCTCTGAGGGTCCACAGGTAAATCGAACTTCTA